TGTATCATCTATATGTTGTCTCGAAGGAACTTGGAAATACTTGCGGAGGATCGTTCGCCGGATATCAACGAGGTGGCGATCGATCCTTGCTTTACTTTCTAATTGCTTCGATCATGGTGAAAGTACGATTTCTTTTTCTTGTTTTTTTTTTTTCTTCTTTTTCCTTTTCTTTCCTTTTTTTTCTTTTTTCAACGTTCCGACGTTTGCCGAGCGATCGTTCTCTTATAATTTTTATTTTTATTTTATCATTTTCTTTCCTTCTTTCTTTCTTTTTCTTTCTTCGGAAGAAAAAGAGAAAGAAAGATTTTCCGTTTAATTGACTTGAGTGGGATTAGCTCAAGGGGGTGACGATGCCTGTCTATTTTTACAAATGAATTTTCAAAATATTAGAAGCAACGACTCGGACAAACCTTTCTCGTTCAATACGCGATGATTGATGATAATTCTTTCGTTATCGAGTCGATCGGTAAATCGGAAGGGTTGGAAAGGGCTGCCGACATCGAATTAAAAAACTTTTTCACCCGAAGGATACATGCTAAATATTTTTTTTTTCAACTACGTATTTGTGACTCCGATACTCGTGTAGCTGAATGATCGATGATTGGACGTTGATTAATTGGAAATAAGTATTCGTTGTATTCTTTTCGTTAGGTCTCGTAGAACGAATTATGATATTTCATTGTTTTAATTTAAATGAGGAATTATGAAAAAAAAAAAAGAAAAAAACAAAAGAAAAAAGAAGAAAAACAAATTTTCATATTTGTACGTACGTATATAAAATTTTGTGGTATCACAATGCTTACTTTTACTTGTTTTGTTTCGATTAAAAAGAAAGGACAAAAGATAAGAAGTAACAGGAAGGAAGAAATAAGAAAGGAAAAGTAAAAAGAGAAAGAGAAATAAGACGAAAGAAAGAAAAAAAAAAGTTAAGAAAAGTTCGGATCAATCTGCATTGAGAATGTTAATTACTGGCGTGAGATATCGGATCGTCGAAGGAAACAAAGTTTCCTACGGTGAATTAAAAAGTTTTCTTTCTTTTTCTTTTTATATGTGTATATATATATATATATATATATATATATATATATAATATATATAATTTTTTTTTCCTCGAGACTTGTGTGCCAAGAGAAAACTTAGTCTAACTGCGTTCATTTACATATTTCAAGTTGTTTTACCAGTTTTCAAGATCTATCTTTCGGTGAAATCGACAAGAGAGTTGAAAATGTTGGTAATTATTGTATATAATTTTAAAAGAAAAATAAAAGGAAAAAGAAAAAAGGAGGAAGAATGAGAAGAAACAAGAAAAAAAAAAAAAGAAACAAAACAGAGAGAAAAGAAAAGAGAAGGGAAACAATAACAGAAACGAGAAATAAAAAAAGAAAATAAGAGAATAAAGGAAGAATTTCCTTCGTTTAAAAAAAAAAAAAAAAAAAAAAAAAAAACAACCGTACGTATAGCTGTGCTCTTTTAAAGAATCGAAACTTGTAAGTAGTAATAGGCCATTGCCAAGTCAGACGTTAAATATATACGTATCGCGAAACTAATCGTCTATTTTCTCGTAATATACGTTTCTACCGTTCTAATTATTCGAAAGTGGCTGTACATATTATGTTGGCACAACATGCGAGAGACATTAATAACGCGCGAACATTGAACGTTTTAATTTAACACGCGTTATCGGCTACTACAATTTCGTAGCTTGATAAACCTTACATAGAAAAAAGAAAGAGAGAGAGTGAGAGAGAGAGAGAGAGAGAGAGAGAGAGAGAATGAGAGAGAGATAGAGAGCAAATTTATTTCATGTATATAATACTTGATACCACGGACAAGTCCAATGTTTTTGTCTTTTGGTCCAGTTTGTACCATTGTAAAAACAAATACCGTATTCGTCTACATGAACATTCAACTTTTTGTAGCTTCTTCGTTACTCACTCTCTCTCTCTTTCTCTCTCTCTCTCTCTCTCTCTTTTTCGTTGCTCGACGAACAATACACGTAGTACAAACACGGTTACATTGTAGTTCTTTTATTTCTGTACGACCACGGGTTTGTTCGTAGATCGTTTGCGAGAGAAGGATTGATTTATCTTGAAAATTAGACTTCGGTTATTTAATATTTTTTTTCTTTCTCCTTTTCTTTTTTTTTTTAACACACACACGCGCGCGCACACACACACACACACACATATACGCATCGTAAAGAACAAACCAACTATTTAATTTTAGATGATTAACGTTTGCCCTTTCAATTCATTGAATACATTCGATTATAAAAGTGTAGAAATATTTTACAAACGATCTGTGAAAAAGAAAAAAGAAAGAAAAAAAAACAACAACAAGAAAAAGAAACTGAATTAACATAAATTCGATATTTCCTTTCGTTCCTTTTGATTCTTGATATTTTGTACTTTGCCCTATCTTTTTTCTCCCTATCTCTCTTTATTTCTTTGTTCTTTTTTTTTCTTTAATAATAAACAACTACCGTCAATACAGACATACCGTCGACCTTATGTGTATATGCATTATATATATATATATATATATATTTATATATAATATCCCTTGTTTATTCGAAGTACTGCATTTCACGTGCGTACGAGCTCAGGTAATTTTTTGATGCGCGATCGATATCCGATACGAGCCTTGATATTTGCATACAAAACAGTATTCCGCAGGTTGTCTAGGCGGTTAAATTTTCCGATTGGAAATTCGTAAATTTTGACTGATATCATTTGACGTTATTGCATTTCGTAATTTCACGTATTACTTCTTTCACTTTGTAATATCGCCATTAATTTTGATTACTATTCTTTTTTTTTTCTTTCCTTTTCTTTACTCTTTTCTTTTTTTTTCTCGAATCGTCCCGGGTAAACGATTAAAAATTTAATTTCTGTCTTTCTTTATCTCACGCGTGAGGGCATTTTTTTTCTTCCTTCCTTCCTTCCTTCCTTCCTTCCTTCCTTCCTTCTTTCATCTTCAATTTTAATATCTCTTTTTTATTTTTATTTCTTTTACTCTTTTTGCCTTTTCCTTTCTTTTTTTTTTCTTTTTTTTTTCTTTTGATTTTTTTCTTTTTTCATACCTGTCCCGATGATCATACATGTCGCTTATCAATGTTTTCAGCGATCATTGTGATAAGTCAGTTGTGCGATAAAAGCACGATCGATTTGATTCAACAGGTTACGTCGATGTAGGACAGCAAAAAAAAAAATTCCGTATAGATCCCTCGTTTTCGCAATGATCTATCGAAATTCGAACGAAATAACGTGAATTCAGCCAATACAATTTATCCATAATTCCTTTCTGTCCGATATCTATACCTCGAGGTATAGATGTAGAACGTGTATAAATGTAGAACGAGTATTGTTCCTGGATTAGTGCGTGTTACGATTAGAAATTCAATCGACGAGAGTCGTCCTTTTATTATTTTTTCTTCCTCTCTTCTTCTTATTCTTTTGTTTTCTTTTGTCTCGTTTGGTTTTGTGAAAACGTAACATCGTAGTCATAAAATCATTATTCCTTCGATCTTTGATATTTCCTTAACATCGCGATTAGAATACAAATGTTCTTTGCAATAAAGTGCACTTGTTACGAATTTAAGAGATATCTCGTACCTTGAATGCTCTATTCAACGAATTATTATAGAATAGAATATATATATATATATATATATATATATATATATATATATATATATATTCTAAACTTGGTGGTATCACGAGAAAACTCATTATTTTCATATATAACGTATCAGCCAAGATAAATATTCTAAACGAAAATATAAGAGAATGTAATTACTCACATTAAAGTTACAAATACGTATTAAAGTTACAAATAAATAATATAGAAAATTAATTAACGAAAGGAGATATCGTTCGATCAAATATTTTCATAATCTCGCAACGTTCCCGATAATATGAAAATTTGTCAATCCTTTTCAAGTTTTCTTTTTTCTTTCTTTTTTTTTTACATTACGTACATCGCCGTAACGATTTCGACACGCTTTTTGGATATTTTCAAAGCACGCGGAAGGTAATATCTCTTAGCGAAAATGTTTCGTTTTATCCGGTTGCAGCGGCCTCGTTACCGCTGGGCGTTCTTTTTTTTTTTTTCTTTTTCTTTTTTTCATAACCGCAGGACGAAAAAAAAAAGGAAAGAAGAACAAAAAAAGAAGAGAAAGAAAAAGAAAAAAAAAAAAGAAAAGAGAAAGGAAAAAAGTAAATATCGTGTTCCATCGTGAAAAGAACGGGATGAAATAAAATTTAGAAGAAGAAAGGGGCAGCATAAGGGAAGGGGGTGGTTTAGCGATATTTTTCGTAGTCGAGCTACGCGCTGCCGTTGTTAGTGTGTTAGTGTGAAGCTAACGGTCGCTCGGAGCGTCGGCACGTTTCTCCGCGTTTATAAAATTGAACAAATGAAAAGGATGGAAAGAGAAGAGAAAAATCGAAATAGAAAAAAGAAAATTAAAGAAAAAAAAAGAAAAAGGAACGAAAAAAAAAAAAAGAAAATCGAAGAGAAAAGAAAAAAAGTAAGAATAACAATAGGGAAACGAGTGAAACAATCGAATTTGCAATTTCAGCGGGCGTAACGATTGATCGAACGAATTATGAGAGGATTAGGATGCGTTGGTACGGCAAAGAAGAGGGCGGAGCTTTTGGAACAATATCGTCTTACCGGATTCGTTAAAAGTTCGTCGTGAAGAGCGTCGTTGCTGTTTTGTTGATGTCTTCTTAGAAAGGAGCCAAGTTTCGATAGAAGGCGAATATTTCCAAGTGCGTTGATCTCTTAAGAGAGATAAAGAGAAACAGAGAGAGAGAGAGAGAGAGAGAGAGAAGGAGAAAGAGAGAGAAGAGGAAACAAAAGAAGAACAAAGAGAAGAAGAAGGAGAAGGAGTGACAAAGTTAGAAAGAAAGAGAAAGATAAAGAGAAAGAAAGAGAGAGAGATAGAGAGAGAGAGAGAGAGAAAAGAGTGTCGTGCAATTGAAGAGAATCGTGTTGAAATTCGCGTCCTTGTGCGATGATTCCGGTATCGATGATTCCAATGATCGAGTTTGAAAGAGTTGAACCTTACGAGGGCTTCTTACTGGAGTCTTTCGAAGTGGAGAACATGTCGTCGTTGATGAACGTCAAGTCCGACGGTGGTGAGACAGTGCGATCGGTCGTGAAGAGAATATTTAACAAGAGTGATTACGAACTGAAGATCGTCCTCGAGAACGACGGTACCGGTGTAGGAGGAGTAGTAGCAGCTGCAACAGCAGGAGGTGGTGGAGGAGGTGGAGCTGCTGGAGGTGGTGCGCGCACCGACGTAGACAACGACGGACTGAACAATTGGTGGGCGATGCTAGCATTGGTTCTGGTCGTGGGCACGGCAGCAGGAAATATTTTGGTCTGCCTTGCCATAGCCTGGGAGAAGAAACTTCAAAACGTTACAAATTATTTTCTGATGAGTCTTGCCATAACCGATCTCATGGTCGCCATCTTGGTAATGCCTCTGGGCATTCTCACTCTCGTTCGAGGTAAGACTTCGAAGGAGATTGAATTCTCCTTAATTTTAATATAATTGAAACTCTAATCGACTTTTTAATTTTTCATCGACAATTATTCCAAAACATACGGTACAATTCGATAACGTCATCCTGTGTAACTAATAACTTTACATTTATAATGATCATAGATTAGACCTGTTTTTAACGTTATCTATATTAATCGAGGAAATGATGAATTCCCATGGGGAATTTATACGAGTTGCGTCTATTATGGAGAGAGAAAGAGAGAGAGAGAGAGAGAGATATACTGTTTAAATATTCGGCAAGATGTAATACCCCTGTCCCATACGTCGTAGTTACACATAATTATTCACGTTTGATCGGATCGGACATGTCAATTATTTATTGACACGATGCTTCGCTCGGTTTGACGTTTCGGATTATTCCTAATTAACGTCTCTCATACGAGACGATCGTTCTCCCAGCATATTTTTCACTTTTTCTATATTACCGAAATAATTCTATGGTATTATATATGCGATGCGTAAGACGGGAAGGGGATAATCCCTCTCATGTCTCGTTTTTCACTTGGTCATTAATCTTTATGGTGCAACCAAAAGCAACGCTTGGTGCATTCAATTCGCGTTAGATTATAAGTAATGGAAAACACGGATATTCTACCCTAGTGGAACGATAGCTGTACATCGGTAGTAGGTTGCGCGCAAGATTGAAAAGCGTGCCGGATTTATTTGCCTTGTTCCACTGACGGTCTTTCTCTCTTAAACGTTTTTCCCAATTCACTATAGATCTCGAGGATCGTCTGAACGAACCAAACGAAGATAAAGTACGAAGATCAAAGATTTTTTTTTGGATATTTATTACGACCTGATTTGGATGTCCGTTCGTGAGAAGTAGAAAAAATAATTAAAAAAAAAAAAAAAAAAAAAAAAAAAAAAAAAAAAATAGAAAGAGAATAGAAATAACGAATGATCGTAGACTATAAATGATAGCTAATACAGAGTCCAATTGAAATCCTTAGCCGTGGTCGGGCTATAAACTTTATGGTGAGCCATTGAAATCTTCATCAACTTGATGCATTTTCCAATAATGGACGACGAACTTTTTTTCACGTGATGCATAGCACGAATTCGTATTTCCTTTTGTACCGAGATTGTCCCTTGTCCTCGAATGTTCCAATCAAGATTTACCGAATGAAAGAGAAAGAAGGAGAAAGAGAGAGAGAGAGAGAGAGAGAGAGATAAAGAGAGATAAAGAGAGATAAAGAGAGAAAAAGACTAACTCGACTCGTAAACGGTCAAATAACGTGCAAAATATCGTTGAGATTGGAATTTAGAAGGACTCCTCTTCGTCTTGCTTTTACGTAAGCTAACGAGAATTAATGCGGCCTCGTATTCTCGAATCGACGAAGAACGTCGAATTTACTTCCTTTTGGACTCGAGAGTTCACTTTCGAAAGAACCAATAAGAAGAACCAGTCAAGTAGACTCCTTCGAGTGGTACTCCATCCTATTCGACTTACGATAAAATTTCGTTCGTTTCTTTTATCTTTTATTAGTTTTAATCAAAAAAGAAATTTAACAATTAAAAAAGATATCTGATATTTAATCGAGAATATTCATTGAATCGTTATTACAATAGAAAAATGATCTTTTGAATATATACCATCGAACGATATACGTATCTATTGATTGATTTTCATTAAATACAAGTAATTGAAATAATCAAAAAGAACATGAATGAGATTCTCTCTTTGTAAAATCATCCTTATTAGAGATTCATTGTGTAGTTTTTATGCATAAATGAAAGATACATATATTCGAATCGTTTTTAAAAGTTGATTTTATATATTGTCAGTCTTATTCGAGAGATGTTATGTTCTTGTTGTCATGTTTCTTTTTTCTTTTTTTTTTTTTTTTTTTATTAAGATACATCGTTTATACGCACACGTTTAAAACGATTTAACACTTAAAACGGGACATTTGTCTGTAGACTTCGAAGGGATTATCTTGCAATATCATTTGTGAGCAAGAGAGAGAGAGAGAGAGAGAGAGAGAGAGAGAGAGAGAGAGAGAAATGCGCGATGCAGTTTTATCCTTTACGAAAGAGTTGAGGAAATGTTCTTTCTTAACGTTAAAGTGATTGATCATAACCCAGGCATATCAGTGTCAAATAATGCGCTTTCAGCTTGGCTCGAAGATCTACTTTATTTTTCTCTTTCTATCTCTGTCCTCTCTCTCTCTCTCTCTCTCTCTCTCTCTCTCTCTCTTACTCTCTCTTTTTCCTCCTCTAAGGATCCGACTTGAAGAGCCATCCGTCCGTTCTCGACACCCTTCGAGTGTCACTCAAGCTTGTGGAGGGAGAGGGCGGGGGAGGAAGGGCATCGATTAAGTTCAATGAAAATCAAAAGATTATTAACCAACGAATAAACGGATAAACTTTAGGATTTGGGAATAAACCCAAATGGAAAATAAAAAGTCTCTCTTCGATTCGTTAGTTTCTATCGATGGAGAAGGATTACCGTTTTGTTAGTTACCGTTTCTGTAATCTCTTCGATACTGAAAGGATCAACTCCGGGTATTCGTTCCAATGAAATGGCCCCTATAGATAACAAAACCGATCGATAAAAAGCAACGAATATTACTCCTCCTTCATGAAACATTTCCGTTCGATGTTAATTTCTATCGATTTGTTATACCACGTCCTCTTCCTACTCCCCATCCCTCTCGCTTTTATTAGTTGTCCATTCTTGTTAATGTCCTATCGTTCCAATGTCCATCGAATTTTCTCTTATCAATATGCTCGATAAAATCGTACGTTTAGATTCGCTATATTATCTTTAGGCGTTTGAATGATTAAACGTCTTTTTCTTTTTTCTTTTTTCTCTCTTTTTTCTTTCTTTCTTTCCTTTGTCTCTTTCTTGTTTTCATTCTTGCACGCGTGTACGTGCGTGTGTTTCTTTTTTATTTGTATAACGATGAATGAAAAAAGAAAGAGAGAAAGAGAGAGAAAGAGAGAGAGAGAGAGAGAGAGAGAGAAAGAGAAAAAAAGAAAATGAAAAGAAAAAATTGTAAATACTAGGTAAGTACATGGAAATGAAAGAAAATAAAGAAAATGACGAGTAGTCGGATTTTTAGAAGAAATAAAGAAATAGAAAGAGAGAGAGAGAGGGAGAGAAGAGAGGGGGGGAAGAGAGAGAGAGAGAGAGAGAGAGAGAAATAAAAAAAATAGAAACGTTTCTGTTGCATTAGACTTTTCTTTCTCTTTCTTATGTTTGGTATGACTTCAGGGAACAATATTTACCGTCGCTACATTATTCAACGATAACATCGTATCTCACGTGTTTCTCTATGCGTTGCATGTTAAGAAATGCAGACGTATGATTCTTTTCTCTCTCTCTCTTTTTCTCTTTCTCTTTCTCTTCTTTGTCGACTCTTAGAAACTTTTTTATTTTTCACTTTTTACGGCCCATTTTTCTTTTTCATAGAATAACATTCGTCAGTCGATTCATGAGACGTGCGTGTCTCATTTTTCTCTTCTCGATTGTTTCATCGAACAGGAAACACAAATAGTTGGTAAAGCTTGCTCACGCAATGCAGACCTATTTGGATCGACTAATGTCGTTAGTAAGTATTCTTCGTGCATAAAACATTGGCACACCTATTAAAGAGAATGTACATTATATAACGTAGAATAATTTTTATTTATTTTTACAAGTTAAATATATTAATTTTTCCTTGAAATATTTGAAGGAAAAGAAAAAAGAAAAAGAGAAGCGAACGATCCAATTGAATTGTGCAAATATTTAATTTTCGAAATGCTTTGTGAAAATGTGTGAGAAAAAATTCGTTATATAAAAAAATGGTATCGTTCTCGATCTTCCCAGTGATCTCGCATGATTAATGGGGGTTGCGGATGAAGGGTGTATGGAGAGTGCACCGACTGGTGTACTCGAGACTCTCGATACAACAAGTGTCCATGGCAATGAAGCGTTTTGCTCGGTATAGTACACTGTCGAAACAGTACAGCGCTTATGACGGGACCGACGTAAAAGTCAAGAGATTTTATAAGAGGTTCTTCACCATTCTTCTATTTGCACATTCGTGTTGGAAAAGAGAGATGTATAAAATTGTCAGTTAACAAAACCGAGAGTGTGTTCGTTATGTAAACGATCTAAATAAATAAAATATCAACAATCAGATAATTGTTTTTCTTTTCTTTTTCTTTTTTTTTTTCTCTCTCTCTCTCTTTTTCTTTTTTTTTTCTTTTTGAATATGCAAATCGATCGATTAATTTGTAACAATTTATTACGTTTGTTATTAATCTTTTAGATTCAGTTTAAAATTAAATCAATAAAATTTATTAAATGATACTTTATCTTTTCAAGGATAAACTTTAAGGGACAACCACGTATGAGATTATTTCATTGTGGTTAAACAAGAAATGTATTTCATGATTAAAGTTAGAAATAATTCCGAACGTCTTTCGTTTTGAACATTTTCACAAATAAACTAGTATTAGCCATGTAAAGTAACACGTATAAGAGGACGGATCACATGTCATCCCGATGGATATTCAACCTTTGCGGCTGGCATAACGTCACCAACAACATGTCCGGCAACGAGACGACGCCGACTAGCCTGTTTATCAAATTTGCTTTTCGTTCTGGTTTGCTTTCGTTTTTGCTTAGATGGGAATGCACGAAGGCGCTTTCTCGACATTTTTGAAAAATGCGAGACAGCCGTCTACGTTGCTCCAACCTTATCCCGAATTAATGTCCTTTCCTAGGGTAGTCTGAAAAAGAGCCTCCATTTTGCCTCGACTAAAAAGCTACGTTACCTTTTTCTTTGTTTCTTTTTTTTTTTTTTCTTTCTGATTCCTTCTTTTTTCTTTTCCTTCCTTTTCAATGATCCTTTCGTCTTTCTCTTAATTGAAATTCATTAATCCTTTGTTTATGAACATAACATGGGTTCCGTTATTTCTTTTTTTTTTTTTTCTTTCTATTTAATCGAT